TGTATATAGAGTGTCTCACTTCCTGAATTTTAATTTTTTTAACTTAGTGATTTAAAGTCCCTTCGTCCTTTTCACACTGAGTAGAAGCAGATTTTGGAGGCACTATGTTGAGAGCTTTATACTCACTGATTTTATTCTGAACCCTAAGAGATCTTTATTGTCCCAGTTTTCCACATGAGGAAACTGAGGCTTAGTGAGTAGGCAGGGACACAGTTTTACTGGAATGAGAACCAGAGCTCTTAACCACTGCATCCTCTACATTTAATTGTGATTGTCTTGCGTCCCCACTGTGTTTTGGTTAACAGGTGGTCAAGAGGCCCCGGAAGGTCCAGCTGGCCCCGCCTCAGGTCAGCCCTCCGCTCAATGAGGATGACCGGGCTTTTGAGGTGATGGATGAGTTTGACAGGAGAAGTGCCCAGAGCGGGTACAGTGAGAGGAGCCGGCTGCGCAGCTGGGAGGAAAGCCTGGAGAGAGGGCGTCCCCACGACCGGCCACGCAGCCGGGAGCGGGACCGGAGCCGTGGCCGGAGCCTGGAGCGGGGCCTGGACCATGACGACTATGGCCGAGCCCAAGACAGGAGCCGTGGCCGGAGCCTAGAGCGGGGCCTGGACCATGATGACTATGGTCGAACCCGAGACCGGAACCGCGGCCGGAGCCTGGAGCGAGACCTGGACCATGTCGACTATGGCCGAGCCCGAGAAAGCAGCCGTGGCCACAGCATTGACCAGGCCTATGACCGGGCCTACAGCCCGGAGGTAGAGTACGGCTACAGGTCCCAGCGTGATGTCCGGTATGAGATGTCCCGGAGCCGCAGCCGCGAGCACCTCCGCTCTCGCAGCCGCAGTCCCAGCCCGGAGCCGAGAGGCCGGCCAGACCGCTCAGGCCAGCTGGAACCAGAGAGGCCCATCGGGGTCCTTCTGATGAAAAGCAAAGCAAATGAAGGTAGTAATGCTTGATGAAGAAAAGCACTAGTATAATAATAGCTAAGTCTTACATGGCACTTACTATGTGCCAAGTACTGCCCTAAATGCTTGCACAGATCAGCTTATTTCATCCTCATCACCACCTTATGTGGGAGTTATTCCTATCTTCATTTTATAGATGGAGACTAAGGCACAGAAAAGTTTATTGAATTTGCATAGGCTGCAGAAATCCAGCTTTAAACTTCTAGGCTGGTGGTTCTCAATGTAGCGTTAAGTATCACCTGGACACTGGTTAGAAATGCAGTTGCTGAGGCCCGGGCCCAGCCCCACTGACTCAGAAACACTGGGACGATTGGCCCCTGCCGGCCCCTGGAGTCTGTTAACGAGGTTTCCTGGTGAGCCTGGTGCGGCATACACTGATGAAAGCAAAATACTCTAGCTAATCTCAGTTGCATTTTGCTCTATGCCAGGGCCTGTGCTGAATAAATATTCTCATTTACTCCTCACTGGAACCTTGTGTGGTAGGTAGGGACTCCATTCCTGTTTTACAGGTGTATCAAAGTGCAAAGAAGTTTTGGGTTATGCCCACATGTGAGCATAACCCAAAACTTCTTTGCACTTTGATACACCTGTAAAACAGGATCCAGAATTCACTAAAGCCCCATGCGGCAGCTAGGGAAGCTACTAGCACTGCAGTTTAGGTGAGGATTCTGAAACTCGAGGGGAAGCACCTTGCCCACATCTTGAAGCTGTTAAGTGGTAGACTAGAACTTAAAACTCCATCTTCTGGAAACATGATAGGAAACAAGTAGGTGAATAAACAGGCCTGGTCTTGGCTTCTGACTTTTTAAATTTCTTGAGACACATCTTTTATCTCTTTTTGTTCTCTCAATTGTTCCTCTAAGAGGAAAAAAGATGAAAAGCATCCAAGAATGCAAAGTGAAAAGTGAAAGACTTATTGCCTTTTAGATAAGGAATTTGCATTTTAAATAGCCTACCTTTGAGGAATGTGTGTCTTAGGAGTATAAAGGATTCTATAGAATCTTTATAACTATTTATAATGACATTAATTCATCAGCCCTCAAAAAGCGCAAAACCATTCTGCTCTCAGATTGAACGGTGGACTTTAGCAAAGTTCTGAGAAAGATTACTTGACAGGAGACCTCCTTCACAGAGGTCTGATGGACATTCTGTAGGACTTATATCCCACGTTGAGTTACCTAAAGCAATGCTTTTCAAACTTTTTCTCCTCCTTTCTCCTTTTTCCCTCCTCCCCTTCTTTTCTCTTCTCCCTCTTGCCACAGTAAGGACCACAATCTTGTAAACAATCGTGGATGTATCTACATATAAAAACTTGAAAACTTTCATGGAATAGTATTTTATGTGATGCATTCTCAG